TGTTAAAAACTCTAAAGAAAATTTCCTGAATTAAAGAAATAATCATTGAAGTTGCATATTGCAAAATGACATCGTGTACCTGGGAAAGACTGACCTAGTAGACGCTGTCTGGTAAAACTACTGGAATTCAAAGAAAAAGGAAAAGGAGTCTTTCGGGAATCCAGGCAGAAAAATGAAATTTCTTGCAAGGGAAAGAATCCCTTCTATTATTACTTTTGCCAGAAGCCAAAGGAATAATATGCTTAAAACTCAAGGGAAAAAACTGTAAGCCAAGGGGTTTATATTCGGCTAATCAGACCTGCAAGTACAAAGGTTGTGGACAAAGTGTTATGAACATGAAAGAATTGTAGGAGATGCCTCCTAGAGAGTAAGCTTTAGACAATCAAATGACTGGAGGACATTAACGTAAGTCTAGCTGTGAACTTTTAATATATAGGTACCTGTACAACTAAGACTAAATGTTATAAGGAAGATAGTCTAGCTCGTAATGACTATATGCTTTGACAACGCAGATAGGTACAACTAACCAAAAATGGGGCAACAATGGGGAGAAAATATGAAAAGTAGAACAAGTTCATTAATTTCTTTATAGGCATAACTAGGGTTTAGATTTGGGGGTTGAAAAAAGAGATGGAGAAGATACTAGCTAATTTCAATATTGCTCATCATAGAGAACTAAGAGACAAAAATAGAAGAGGCTAATGGCATTATATAAATATATTGTACAAAGGAAACCATTGGAACAACAATAACAGCAAAAAACTGCTTTATTTTACAGGCCATAATTTGTGCACACGCATGCACGTGCACACACTCGCGGTGGGGAGGGGCAGAGGGAGAGAAAATGTGCTAATGAGCACAGATACTGTGCGAATGGGATGATTTCCTCCTCACAAACAAGCACCAGTCCGGTTCAGTAAGAGGAAGTGGGAGGAGGGCAGAGAAAGCTTCTCTGCCTCAGTCCATCCGAGACTGAGGGAACTGAGGCTAATCACATCAAAGGTTTTCATTCTTCTAAGTAACCAGTAATGTATAGTTAGAAGTTACCACTGGAGTGTCCTGATATATATTTCACTGTTCGTGAGAACTGGATAGGCTTTTTGAATCTGGATCCAAGAGGCAGTATAGCTGGTTCTAGATATACAACTACTGGTTGATGTGAATAAAGCTAAGGATTGTTCCTTGGGCATAAAAAAAAAGTGTATGTCATTAAAAGATAAATGTCTCCACTGAATAAACAAAAGGAATATTTCCAGGGAAACACTTCAAATTAAAAGATCTATGGTGAGCAATGAATTCTGTGGCTGAAAGTCTCCGAGAAGACTTCTTGTTGCCCGGTAGTTAAGATTTTTTTTGTTGAAAAGCTTCTTATCAGCATCTAGCTCAAGTATAAACATCTGATTATTGCCACCACCTGTCTCTACAAGAGTATTCTCATTTCTCAATAAACCTGCTTTCGTGCCCTCTGTCCTAATCAAACATATGCCTGGTGACTTTCTCAACAAGGTGACTTCCTTCTAGTTGATTTCCAGCCCTGTAGTGATAGAACACCCTGTTTGCCACAGTGAAACTCTACTCCTCTGAAAAGAAGTCTCCAGATACTTCCCCTCAGGGAAATGAAATGAACCATGATCTTGCCTAACCTGCACCTTCAATCCTTATTTTTCACTATTCTTCTTTAAAGCAGTCACTCTTCTTTCAGTGATATATATATCACTGAAGAAGAAATATATATAAAATATATATATATATTTTTTTTAGTGGCAACTTCATATTTACATTACTCTTTCTAGAAGGCATGTGAGGCTTTTCCTGATGCTGACCTCAGTTAATTAGCATGACACATGCCTGGCTAAATAGTTCCTTGGGCCAGTGTTTGGTATGGGAGATGCAGGGGCTGCAGGAAAGATTAGGGGCCAAGGTTCCCCACAGCAGCTTCCTCTTCTCACCAAAGCCTAAATCGGGAAAAGCCTTTCTCCTCCAAAGTGAAGAAAAAATAATGGCAAACATAACAATGGCTTGAAGGGAAAAGGAAAAAAGATGAAAACTCAAAAAATTGTATTTTTTTTTTCCCTAAACCCAATTCTTCGTTGCACTGAAGAGGGATGGGTGGGAAATGACCCCTGCAGGGGAGGGGTCCCTGACCAACTGCTTGGGTCAGGTTAAAGGAAAAAGGTCCTGGCCAACCTTTTGCTCTTGGGTTCATAGTTCTTTATTTAGCAGAGCCCTTCAGTGAGTTTGGGATCTGCAATGGAAGCAAACTGCTTCTCATGAATTAATAAAAATTTAGAGAGTGGGAGAGGCCAGCATTTGGGGTGGGGAGTAGCTAATAAGTTGGTGATAAACCAGGGCCTAAAAAGTAGTGCCACCATCTTGAAATTTACCCTATTGGGAAATAGCTAGTAAGCTGTTATGACAGTACTGACTAGATTTCTGCTTTAATCTATCACCTATCCTGTGCTGTTCTGCAATTCCCTTATGTTAGTCCAAACCTTCAGGAAAATTCTGCTATATCCAAAAACATGGTCTTCATGTTATTGGAAGATGGCTGCTAATATCCAACATGGGGCAAACAGGACCAAGAAGAGAGGAGGCCATCAAGAGAAACAAGTGTAATGGTTTGGCTAGATAGATCAGAAAAATGCTATCTCTGGAGAAATCAATGGGAATACCAGCTGGAGGGAGAGGGGGTAATTTCCCAAAGTAACAGGGGTGAGGTTTCCACTGTCTTATTTGCATACTAAAGAGAGGTTTCGAAAGCTGTAAGAGGTGAGGACATCTGGTTAATACTAGTATTAAAATAATTAAAATACTTGAGTTATCTGCCAGTCCCATGGTTCCCAACTGTATTTCTCAGACTAGTGAAATTTTAGGGACTCCTGGGGTTGTATTTTTTATTGTATTATGCAAAGATATTTTAAAAACGAATTTTCACCATTGTTTCATAAAATAAGAAGCATTTAAACATGTAGACAGGCAAAATGGAAAGGGCATAATTTCATGACAATTGTTAAAAATGTTGTTTTTATCTGGAATGATCTCACCCTTTCAACCTACTAAAATGTATATTTTATTTTTTTAAAAGATTTAGTTATTTATTTTAGAGGAGGGGCAGGAAGGCACAGAGGGAGAGAGAGAATCCCAAGCAGACTCCACGCTGAGCCGCGGAACCCGCACAGGGGTCGATCCCAGAACCCTGAGATCATGACCTGAGCTGAAATCAAGAGTTGGATGCTTAACTGGCTGAGCCACCCAGGCGCCCCCACAAGTATGTATTTTATTTTACTTAGTTTTAGTTTACCGTTTCCTTAAATCTTTCTTCACTTATTCACTTTTCAGAGACATTAGTAGATGAACACGACTCTGCCCCTGTCCTTAGTATCTCACACTTCTCTAGGGAAGTCAGGCAGGTGACCCACCTGCGGACAGTGCACCTGCGCCTCTGGCAGAGAAACTCACCAAGTACTAAGGGCAGAAAGGCCAAGCAGCAGGTAAGAAACAGTCAATCTATTTCTAAGCAGAAGTGCAAGAAATACTAAAGCCTGATGTCAGAACTCACTTTGCACATACCATCTGAGTTTCCTTACTGACGATTTAGGGGGAAACTGATAGTACACCCCAGAGATCATGGATTTTTTTCAGACTTATTCATTCTGAGCAAATTACAGGGCTAGGAACACAACTGACGTGCCATCTCAGCTGGTCCATACCGCACACCGGACAGGAAGAGAGGCGAGTGGCATGGAATTAGGGGGATAAAACTGTCCCTCTCACTTGTCCCCAGTAGAACGGCTCTGCACATGGTCACGCTGCTCACTTGAGGACATACAACCTGCAGGGCAGCAGGGGACAGGCCAGGGTGAGGGCTGTGCTGCCATGGCGACAGCACCTTTGGGGCCAGACTGGAGATGGGGCACTTGCTCCATACACACGGTTGGGAGATGACTGGGAGTGCTGGTGGGCACACTGGTCCGTCCTGCTCAATACTACTCCAAGCTACCAGGTTTCTGATTTCTGATTCTCAGCGAGAGTTAGAGAGGGAGGTCTATTGTGGTGTCCAAGTCATCTGGTTCTGGAATCTCCCGAGGGAGCAGGGAATGGAATGCTGGCACAGTAAGGGACACACATACACATTCATATGGGAAGAAGATCCAGACGCAGGTACACTGGGGAGTCTTCTCTTTTCTCTGTGCCCCAGAGGGGACCATATTAGAGGGAAAAACCTACCTATGCATTTTTTTCTACATTATATAATCCGAGTATATGTGTCAAAGGGATAGTTGCTGGAACAGTCATTTCCTCCCCTTGTCTCACCTCGATCCTTGTCAGAAATAGGTCTAGAACTTTCCCACAATTACCCATCCTTATTTAACACCAAACCCCCCAGAGATCGGCGGCCGGCTGCAGTTGGAACAACATCTCTGGCCAGGTCTTGTGGCTTCTCGGAAGCGCGGATGTGTGACAATAGTACAGAATCGCAGGAAGTGACTACTGAACACACACGCTCTGCAGCTTGCGTCCATTCTCACACATTCCTGTTTTAGATTCTGAGCAGCTCTCCCTCCCCATGCGCTATGAAATAGAAGGGTCTGGCAGAATCATCCAAATGAAATGAGGTTCCTTCTCCCCCGGGAGATTAAGAACAGAGGTGAGGTCCTTTCCCTCCGCAACCATAGAAATCTCGAGTTTCCTAGAGAAAGGCCCAGCAGGGGGCCAGAAGCCACAGAAGGTGCAGGGAACCCGCGCCTCTGCAAAGCCCCGAAATGCCAGGGGACCCGGCCGGGGAAGGTACGAGATGAACCGGAGTTGTACCCGAGACCGGTTGCGGGAGGATGCGGCAGCCCGGGGCAGGGCAGTGATTGCTTTGAAGGGAAAAGGGAACAAGGGTCCGCTGGTCCCTGAGGACTCCCGAGGTCAATTCCCAAGGGACCCAAAGCAGCGACGGGGTTCTGAGATCTGGCAAGTTCCTGGGAGTCGAGCGAGGAGAGCGAGAGTCTTACCTGGCCCGGCTGGCTGGTGTAGTTGAAGGAGTAGGTGTTCTCCGTGGTGAGGCTCACCACCCCGCTGTAGACGCGATCGAAATCGGAGCCGCTGGCGGGGTCGCGGGGATTGCGGCTCGGGAGGGGTTGCGCGGGTCGCCGGGGTGCCGCCGCGTGCAGGAGCCAGGGTAGCAGCGCGCAGAGCAGCGCGATCCGCGGGCAGCCCCGCATGGTGGGCGCCGCGCCCCTGCCACCAAGGAGAGCCTCCCTGGCGAGGGGGCGAGCTCAGAGCGGGTCCTTCCAAAGCCCCCCTGCGGGCCTGGGCGCCGGCTTCAGCGCCGCGCGGGTGATGCCTGGCGAGCCCCTCTGGCGAGTGCTGGCAGCCCCCGGGCGAAGGACCGATCAAATATTGATGCAGCCGCCTGGGGTCTCCGCGGGAGGTCGCGGGCCAGGAGCGGGGGCGAAGGGTACGGGGGCCTGGGGCTGCTGCTTTGCTCTCCGGCTTCTAAGTCCTTTTCCTTCCCCTTTTCTCATTTCTCATAATCCTCCACTTACCCAGCCAGGATTTCAACAGATCTCTTCCCTACTCAATCTCAAAATAATAATAAAAAATAAATTTAAAAAGGCATTAGAGACATTAAAATAGAAATATTCACTAGTCTTAAAGAGTCAACCTGACTAGCCACGAAGCAGGAAATAGTCTCTTTCAAGTAAACGTGCACCCTGACTGCAAGGGAAGAAACAGAAAGCCACAGACCCTGTCCCCAAAGAGGGTGCACGAGTTTGCTTTTCCTGTCTGCTACCCGCAGAGAATTGCCCGTTTGAATGATGGTTACTAACTCTCAGTTCTCCCTTCTCTAACAGAACCCCTTGCCAGACACCTGTTTTATTTTCTTATCATCTTTTATTCTCAGGGAGAGCCTCACATCATCGCTTTCTCTCTCCCTCACTGTTTGTGTCCCTATTAAATATGTACAGTCATAAAAACTGAAGAGAGAGGGTAAAGAAGACAATTTCCACCACGCCTGAAATCTGGTCCCGGAAGTTGTCAAGGACGTCTCAGCGAAGCTGGCTTTCTGCAGCGGGTTTCTTTCCGTCCTCCCCAACTTCTTGCCTACTTTACCTCTGCAATGACTTCTTAGATTCTGGGAGAAGCCCTGGGATTCTGAATTGTTTTTCAAACGAGAGAAACTACAGCCCATTAAAAGGAAATCTCCTTCTGGCAAAATTTAGGGGATTTGATTTAAACGGTTGGAAGAGGCAGATAAAGGGTGAGGTGGGAAGAGGATCCCTGGGAAGTCCTTGGGGAACAACAAACAAGCACAGTTCAGGTGTAGAAGAGAACTTACTCTCTTATTTCAGCTTCAAGTTATTTGTAAACTAGAAAGTAATATAATTGCATTCAATCTGAAGGAACATTTAAAGAGAAGCCAGAAGAAGAAAAGATTGTGTTCAAAGAATTAAGTTACAGATTAAAATCCTAGCATTTACCATTCAAAGGGAGGGTTTGATTTATTTAGTTATTTGGGAGGGGGAGGGGCAGCGGGTGAGGGAGACAGAATCTCAAGTAAGGTCCACACCCAGTCTGGAGCCCCACTCAGGGCTGGATCTCACGCCTCTGAGATCATGACCTGAGCCAAAATCAAGAGTTTGAGGCATATCGGACTGAACCACCCCGGCACCCCAGGTTGTTTTTTTTTTTTTTAACCTCATTGAATTTCTATAATTTATTAAAATATCACAAATGAGTTCAATACATTTGGTATAATGTTTTATAACTGTGCAATCAGAAAACAATGCTGCTGGAAGATTGAGTTAGAGAGTCCTTATTAGGACAATTTTCACTTTTAAATAAATGTTCTTGAAAATGTATGGGTATAAGGACAAAAATACTAATTCAAAAAGGAGTCTGGGGGTAAAGTTTAAAGTGCAGCTCATTGTTTTAAGAAATATAATAATTTCATCCAGAATTTGAATGACATTAAACTGCTATATTTAAAATGTGTATGCCTCTTTTGAGAATTTAACAAAATTTCATAAACTTGAAGTTTATCAAGTCCTTCAAGGTTAGCTGGCCTGGCCAGTTCAAGCACTCTCTACAGCTAGAGGGTCATGGAGTCCTACTCAGCACCACAAGAGATGAGGAACTGGCTTTTTCACAAGGTAACTCCTTCTTTTGGGGGCAAGTGTCTCATTATTAGAACAATATTTCACAGTCTAAATTGAAATCTGCCTCTCTTCCACTCATTGGCATGGGTTCTGCCCTCTGGAGCCATAGGAATAAACTTAATCCTTCTTCCACATGACAGCCTTGTAGGTATTTGAAGGAGCTATGACCCTAACTTTAAGCACTGAAATTAGAAGTGATTAGAACAGATCCTTTATCTTAGCAAAGAACTCAAAATATTTATTTTAAAGCCCTTAGAGATGACATATATAACAATTTGAATTATATATTTCAAATTATACTATGATCTAATCCTCATTCCATTGAATGACCTTGGGCATTTAATCTCCCAGGATCACAAGGTTGCTGTAAGGATAAGGGGGTGGGGGTGGGGGGCGGAGAAGAATGTATTTGAAATTGTATTAGAAAGTTTAACATGTTGTATGACTGAATATTGTTATTGTATGACTCCTAGTTCAACAGCTAAAAAGTTAAATATGGTCCATCAGTCAGGCTTGTAGAATATCTACAATGCCAAGCTTCCACTGTGACAGGCTGAATATACGAACACACAATGGCTAGACCATATATGATAATAGACCTCTGACCTCAAACTCTACAGCAACTGGTCTAGGAAGCCAAACCACAATCTTTGTAGCAAATGGCCCAGAACAATCAGGACTTGGTCAGTGACTGCCAACTTCCCCAATTTTTGCCTCTGCTCCCAACTCAAGAGCAATCAGAGGAATCCAAATATGCTCTGCAAACCACAAAAATACCCCACTTCTAGTTAGCCTACTTGCAGCTCCTCTATGCCACCAAGATACAATCAGAGTATTCTGAAACCTTGCCTTTTTTTCATCGTAAAGCTTTCCCTGTTCCCTGCCTGCCTTTGAGTCTTGGCCAAGCACAGGTGATGGTGGCTTGCTATAGCAAGCAAGCTCTGAATAAATAACCTCTGTTTCCATTTAGTGGTCGTTCTTATTTCCATAGTTTTCCTGAAGGTTCCAACGAGATCCTGTCTGTATTACCTGTCACCATGGACTCCAGCCTTTAACCAGCTGTGCTACACACCCAGGCCCCTCGTGCCTTACAGCTTGCAGTGTTGGGTACATGTTGACATGGTGAGTGAGCACTGTGTCTGAGCTCTGCTTTCTTTGCTTTTGAGTTCTTTGGCTATCTCATCTCAGTTTGATGCCTGGGTTTTGTGGTTGGTTCCCATTTGTTTGGCATCTTTGGTGGAGTCTGGCCATTCCTTTTCATCCCTTTTTGCTCTCTTTCCTGCTTCCGTTTTGTGTTATATTGTCCAAAAGTATTGTTTGCCATAGAGTAGAACACTGGTCCAGCATTCTTTTGGACAAACTTTGCTTTGGATCACCTATAAAACTAGGCTATCCTTTGTTTCAATTGTTTTGTCCTTAGAGTTTGGCTTTGATCCACAGAGAGCATTCTCTCTGGTTTTCCACCTGCCTGCAGGTGTAGGTTGTTGGGTCTACATTTGGAGGCAGCTACCTTCAAGTTGGGGTCTCAAGACTCAAAGTGCACAAGTATCACTTTCAGCTGCTAGCTCTTACAGGCTTGGCTAAGTCTAATTCTTCTCTTCCTTTTGGAGAAGCTCCAACTTCTTATATGTCCACTCATTACAATTCTAATTCCTGCACCTATGTTTCAAATGGGACACTTCACCAAGGATGACCTGGGCCCTCAATGGCCACTCTGTGGAACATTGGCCTTGACCAAAATTATTTATTTGACAGGTGCTTTAAAAAAGAAAAAGAATAAAGATTTCTCAGATCCAAAGGAATCTTGGATTAAATGAATTGTGTTCAAAAATTGCTTTGCTAAAATATTCTTTGGTCAAAGCTAATGAGAAATTTGGCAAGCTTAGCCAATAATCTAGATTCATTTCCATAGTAAATCCTTTACCTCCTAGTCCTCCAGCTGCCTTCCTGTGGCCAGCTCTCTCACTTCCCCCTTATCCCTCTGAAGTCCCTCCTTCTGCACCTCGTCCTTCCTCTTCCCCTTGTCCAGACGCTCGGTCTTTTCCCAGCAACTTTCTAAAACCTCCAAATGCTAGTTGCCTCCAATAGTCTATCCCTCCCATAAGCCAGGTATGCAGGTGACTGTAGAATTTAAACTTTGGATCGGAGATGAATTAAGAGCTATAATGAAAGGTTTCCCTAAACCTAAGCAAGACTGAGCAAAGATTCATAGAAGAATTTGTAATTCTTTGGATGCACATGACCCAGAGTTGCCTGACCTACATCAACTTGTATGCATGTTGATCAGAACCTCAGATGCTAAATCCTAGATGACAAAGCTGATTGGACCAACCTAGAGAGGGACCTCCAGGATCCTCTACAAAAAACCTCAGGGTCAGAAAAAGGCCAGAAAAATAATTCAAAGTCTCCTAAAAGCCATACCTGAAACATTGCTAATAAAAGTTGATTGGGTCATAATTTAATCATGCAAACAAATAGAAAAATGAAACTATAGGAGATTTGGGGATAAATAGAAAATATCTTCCAACAACACTAATCGTTCTACATCAAATCCTGCCATCTTTGCTCAACCTCTTCCTTGGAGTGAACATAGAACAAAAGTATAAGTATTTCAAACAACTCACAGATTTGTCCCTATATCCCAGCCCTGAACTACAACTTTTGTGTCCCTGATTGAAAAACATCTCTTCCTGCTCTGTGATACCACATCTACAAATTTATTAAGGAGAGATCTACTTTGCAAATAAAACTAATATTAATTGCACACCAGAGGGACTATTTTTTTGAGGTTTCAGAGGATGTATCAATTACCAGTCAACTTGTGTCTGCTCTATATAAAACTTTCCTTCTCCACTATCTTTGATGTATGCTCCTGATACAGATCTTGACATTGTACTTGGCTCTTCATGGGCTAAAATTCCCATTGACATAAGAAAAATAATTGGAGGGCGCCTGGGTGGCTCAGTTGGTTAAGCGACTGCCTTCGGCTCAGGTCATGATCCTGGAGTCCCAGGATCGAGTCCCGCATCGGGCTCCCTGCTCGGCAGGGAGTCTGCTTCTCCCTCTGACCCTCCCCCCTCTCATGCTCTCTGTCTCTCATTCTCTCTGTCTCAAATAAATAAATAAAATCTTTAAAAAAAAAAAAAAGAAAAATAATTGGAACAGAATCTATTAAAGTTCAGATAGATCTTATCAAATTCCCAAACTTCCCCAAAGTTAGAAGCTAGAGCAAGAAAAGCCTCAAATTTATAGTTGAGAGCCTTATATCAAGAGTCCTTTTCATGGGGTGCCTGGGTGGCTCAGTCGTTAAGCGTCTGCCTTCAGCTCAGGTCATGATCCCAGGGTCCTGGGATGGAGCCCTGCATCGGGCTCCCTGCTCCGCAGGAAGCCTGCTTCCCCCTCTCCCTCTCCCTCTCCCCCTGCTTGTGATCCTGCTCTCACTGTGTCTCTCTCTATCAAATAAGTAAATAAAATCTTTAAAAAAAAAAAAAAAGAGTCCTTTTCATAACCTGCACTAACCCTTGTAACATTCCTGTCTTGCCAGTAAAGAAACCAAATGGACAAGTATATTGATTTGTTTAAGATCTCAGGACACCAATACCATTGTTATCTCTCCTTCTCCATTAATACCTAACCCAAATTCCATCCTGTCATCAATTCCCCCACAAACCACCTCCTTCTCTGTAGTGGATCATTGCTGTGCCTTTTCTGGGTGTATTCCTACACTTAAGAGTCAATATCTTTTTGCCTTCATCTGAGGGGACAATGATATACATGGATAGCTAGGCCCTAAGGGTTCATTGACACCCCCTCCTATTTTTCTTAGGCCCTTAATCAATAATTAAAAGATCCAAATTTCCCTTGTGTTTCATTTCTGATATAATA